TCTCCATGCATTGAGCAAGTACAACGCTCTTGTGAAGCACTCAAATCACATTTTACTGGTAAGTTATTTTTCCTGGAGACTTTAGCTCAATTCAGTCAAGAAAACTGCTATATAAAAACTACAGACTCTCATGTGGCAAGTGTTTTTGCTTTGTGTAGATGTAAGAACATTTGAAGTGCTTCTACGCACCTATGATGTTAGACAAAGGATAATAGAGAGCTGCCTAGTTAATGAAGGAGATTCTAATGAGCGCCCTCCACGAAAGAGGAGGCAGGGTTCTGCTGAAGGAAACAATGGGATTGAATGCACTTCTTCTCCTACTGTGATGATTAGGCCTTCTGGTGAAGCAAGAGGTCATACTGGCTATTTGACATTTGCTAGACTCAAATGTTTTGCGTAATATGCTTCATCAAAGATCCAATTTTTGTGGTGGCGCACACTTTTCGTGCTTATGTTGTGCTTATTTCTTGATTATTCGACAAGTAGAATTCTTGCAGTTAACAGCTATTAAAGAGCAGACTAACCAAAAGAGATATCAGACAGTTTTGCTCAAGATTTGACAAAAAGAAAGAAAAGGTGCTTCTACTCGAATTTTATAGTGTGTTATAATTTTGCTTTCTGCATTGTTTCTTCTAATCCCATTTTTTAAGTGCTGGAGGTACCCTGCATGTTTTCTTCTTCTTTTGGTTTTTACTTGATTGTAATTCTGGTTTCCTTCGCCGTTAAGTAGTTCTAGACTAGTGGTCGCAAAATGGATAAAAATAACAGTTATCCATCCACATTATCCGCTGAAAAATGGATAATGAACTTTTTAAAAACGGGTCATATATGAATAAGAATCATATTATCCAGTTAGAAAATGGATAACCGATTGATAATTAATGAGTTTAACTTTTATATTTGTAAAGACTCAAATTAGGGGTTCCTCAAGCTTTACCCTAAAAGTGATCATATTCAAAAAGCTTGATAATATGAGTAATATGGTTACCCATATTATCCACTGGTTAACCCATTTACTATCTTCATGGGATGGATAATTTATTCATTTTTACATGGGAGAAATTCAAAAATAGCCAGATTTACAGGTGGTCATTCAAAAATAGCTACAATTTTAAAAGTAATCGAAATTTAGCCACTTTTCATGTAAAGATAAATCTGAATGAAAACACTGTTCAAAATCCGGAAAATACTCCAGCATAATATACTGGAGTTCCAGTATAATATACCGGTCCAACATAATATACTGGAATTTGGAGCACCGGTGCTCCAGTCTCCAGTATACCGGAGACAGCAAAGTATACGAGTCCAGCATAATATGCTGGAAGTTCATACACAGGTGCATCAAACTCCAGTATATTATGCCGGACCGATCTCTATTGTAGCAAAATAGTGGCTATTTTTCATTGACTTGATAAACGTTGGCTATTTTTAAATGACCAGTCCGAAAACTGGCTAAATCGTGCTATTTTAACTTTTTACATTACCCGTTTTCGACCCGACTCGCATGTTTGCCACCCCTACTCCAGGCCTAGGAAAGTCTCAGCCGCGATTGTCAGGTCATTTTCCGAGAATTGCTAGTTTGCACCAAGTAAATTGAAAATGTCAATTGTTAAAAAATGTCAAAAATGTCGAATGCCAAATGAATTAGGATAAGCTAAAATCTTGTCGAAAAGTATGATAAAAACTGTTGAAAGCGATTATAACTATTTCTGGGTGTAAATCGCCGGGCAAAAGAGGGTAAAAAAACTTTGAGAAAGTGACAATAACAGTCACAGCAAGTCAGGTCACATTAGATTGTGACCACAAAGCTCTGATCACAATACTTCCACATTTCAGAAATACCACACACTCTGGCTATTGATATTAACTTAACTTTCAACAATTGGATATTTATTTGGATAATAATGATGAGAGTAATAATAATTGTTCATCTGGTCCCACCGAAGTTACATGTGAATGTGATTAATTTTAACCAGCCGACATAAGCAAGATATGTCTAAACGACGTCGTATCTGCTATGCCACGCCAAGGAATGAGTGTCAACCATCAGTGCTGTGCTGTAAAGAATTTCACCTTCCATTAAGCTCCCCTAGCATGATTGGGGCGGCTCGACGAGTTTTGTGGCCTAAAGAAAGAAGTCAAACTTTTTCNCCCCCCCTCCCCATAAATGTGGAGTCTAAAGCAGTTGTTTTACTTGCTTTAGGGAAGGGCCGTTCCTAAGCGAGATACGTTAAATACTTAGAGGCCGTTTGGTAGCTGGTTACGAGAAAAGTTATATATGTATTGAGGGCAACATAATTTATACAATGTTTGGTAATCATTAGTTATTTTGTATAAAATTCAGCATAACTAATACTATGTTTGGTAATCATTTTATTATTCTACATAAATAATAGATGTATAAATTATGACTCAATCCGTGTATTATTTTATGCGGGGTAGAAGATGGAATAATTAATACATGTATTAGTAATACATGGATAAAATATTAAAATGACAAATTACCTCTATCACTTTACACATAATGGTTTCCTTCGATAGATTGATCTGTATCAAGCCCTTTGGAGAGCAAGCATGGAGATATTGATGCGTCACTCCTAGGCTCTTCCTCTGCTCAATCTATTAGAGACAAAATTAATAAATAAGTATTTTATTTTAAAATTTATATAATGTATATCAATTTCTTATATAACAAACCAAATATTCAAAAAAAATAATTCCTACATAACTAATCCACGTATAACTAATCTCTGCATTACTTATTCTTGCATAACTGATACCTGCATAACTATAACCATCAACCAAACGACCCTTATAGTGTTTGGTATTTACACCAAGCCGATCAATTAAATTGTAGCAGTTATATTTCCTTCGTCCCAATTTATGTGATACTGTTTTATTGGACATAGAGTTTACCGGCTAGACATTGTCTATATCTAGGAAGCTTTTCACATCTGGGGTATTGCTCGGCAGGTCATTTTCCTAGAATTGCTAGCTCGTTAAGTTCATCAATTAAGTTAGAAATGTCAATTGTCCAAAAATATCAAAAATGTTGAATGCCAAATGAACTAGGATTTTAACCTATGGTTAAACGTATGCCAAAAACTGAAACTGTTGAAAAGCAATTAATCTATCTGGACGAAAATCGCCTGCCAAAAAAGGAAAAATATACTTTATACAAATCAGGATTCACAGAAGAGGCGGAGCCACAGCGTCAGTTACGGTTTCGACTGAACTCAGTAACTTTGGTTTAAATCATGTATTTGTCTTAAATTTTTTATTAAATATGTACAGATTATTAATTTAAAATTAAATAACTTAAAATAATTAAGATCTCGGACACATAAACTTAAAATGTGACCACACACCACCACCAGTACCTATTGTCCCTTCACTTGTCCTGTTGCTTTGCTTTCTTTTTTTTTTTTTTTTTAACCGAGGGTCTCCTGGAAACAGCCTCTCTATCCTTCGGGGTAGGGGTAAGGTATGCGTACATATTACCCTCCCCAGACCCCACTTATGGGATTATACTGGGCCGTCGTCGTTGTTGTTGTTGTAACATCTCTTTCGAGTAGAACTCAACCAAATAACAACTCATCAATAATTTAAAATATTGTTTCTCAAGTACTAGTATAATACTTAATTTCTTTTTATGTGATTATATCTGAGTGGTTGAAAGGTTATTTGCTATATCATATTACAATTTTGAGAAGTTTTATGAATTTGATTCTTAAATTCTTAAATAACTGTGAGTTGTCTGTTCAATTTATGTAACACTCTTTTTTAAGTTCTTTTTCTTAAAAGACATATTTTATATTTGAAAATTTTTTAAAGTTAAATTTCTCGTTTAATTCTAAATAATATGCTCTTAGAGCCATAAAAATGTTATTGCATATTGACATGTCTAGGACTACATATCTGAAGGATATTTTTGGTATATAAATAAAAAAAATCTTTCTCACTTAATTAACTTAAAAGCCCATCCAAACACCCTCTATATTATTATGAAAGGGTTCAAAAATAAAAAAAAGGGTAGCTCGGTGCACTAAGCTCCCGCGATCCGCGAAACTACAAGAGTCTATCGTACGAAGTCTTATCCTATATTTCTGCAAGAAAATGCTTTCACGGCTCGAACCTGTGACCTCCTGATCACATGATAACAACTTTATCAATTTCGTTACAAAGCGTTCAAAATAGAAATGGTTATAAATACTCCATATGGTCCCGCCAAATTACGCCATTTCATTTCAGCGGCCTGCATATATAACCCAACGACGTCGTTCGTCTTTGCCATGCCAAAGAATGAATGTCAACCATTAATGTTGTTAAGAAACTTCACCTTTCACTAAGTTCCTAAGCTTGGAAAAAATGGAAATCTCTACATTTTACATGTCTCCTTCTACACCATTTCTAAAGCCTCAGAAACCTCCAAATCAAATCTTTACCTGTAAATTAAATGCGCATTTTCAGCATTTTGCTTTTCACAGGCCAATTTATTGCTCAATTCAAAAAACTAGTTCTAGCATTTCTTCGCCTTCGTTTTCAAGCTTCAATAGAAACACGTATCGATTCGCTCTGCTCAAAGTTAGGGCTGTGACAGAAAATGCTGAAGGATCTGAGGGTTCAAAGCCTCGTGAATTGGCGCAAACTCTGCAACTGGGCGCTATGTTTGGAACGTGGTATCTTTTGAATATATATTACAACATTTACAATAAACAAGTTCTTAAGGTTTTTCCATTTCCGGCGACTGTTACGGCATTCCAATTTGGTTGTGGAACAATGCTGATACTATTTATGTGGGGATTTCGTCTCCACCCTAAACCAAAGATCAGTAAATCTCAAGTTATTCTTTCTCCTCGTCTTTGTTTTCTTTTTTATGTTGGGTGTATTTGATAGGATATATTGAGCCGAGTGTCTATCAAAAATAGTCTCTTACCTTTTTAAATGCAGGGATAAATTGTATGTACATTCTAACTTTCTCAGATCCCACTTGTGGACTATATTGGATTTTTGTTGTTGTTGTATTTGATAGGATAAAAGTTAATTTTCAAGAAAAAAGTCATTTTCTTATGTTTGGTTAATGTTTATCTAGAAAAATATTTTTATCTAAAAGGAAGAAAATGACTTCTTTTGCTCATGGACAAAAGCCATTTTCATGGACGATCATGTTGTAGAATGTATGGTAAAGTTGTGTACAATAGACCTTTTTGGTTCGGCCTTTTTCCGAACCCTGTATATAGCGGGAACTTAGTGCACCGAGTTGCCCCTATCCAATTTTTTAACTTCATAAGTATTACTTATTCTGAAAAACAATTTGATATTATTATTAATCTTTAGCATTTAAAAATATATCACCCTTCCATTTGAATTAGCAAAAATAATATCTGCTACTACATAATATGAATTCTAAACATTCATAATATGAAAAAAAGTTATTTTTCATTTACCAATCAAATATAGAAAAATATTTTTCGCAAATAATGTCTTTCCTCGTACAAAACACACTCTAAGTCAAATTGATTCATTTTTTTTATGTTGATTTTTTTTTTAGTAAAACTAACTTTCTTTTATTTATTTTTTGCTTGAATTTTCAGTTTAAAGCAATATTTTTACTAGCTGCAATTCACACATTGGGAAATCTTTTAACGAACATCAGCCTTGGGAGAGTAGCAGTTTCGTTCACTCACACAATCAAAGCAATGGAACCATTTTTCACAGTACTTCTTTCTGCCCTGTTTCTTGCCGAGGTATAAAACTTTTGCAACCATATTTCTTCCCCTATTTGATTTTTCTGTTCATATTTAGATATTTTCTCCAAACAGTGGCGCGCATTTGTTTGGATGGTTGTTACGTATCGTTTCATAATGTATCGTATCATATTGTATTGTATTATATTGTATTGTATTGTATTGTACTGTATCGTTTTAATGTATAATGACTAGATAGATTGTATTGTTTGTCGTCATTTCCTGATGTCATGCAACAACAATATGAAGAAAAAATTTGCAATATTATAAAGAAAAAGTAAGGTTCGAGTTAGAATTATTATATTAAAAGCTAGGGTAACAGATAAAATAGGATTATTTAATAATAATAAGGAAGGGCAAGATGAGAGAAAAAAAAAAGTAATGACGCAGCCACACCAAATCGGTCGTTCCATAAAGTGACACTTTTCGTCATTAAGTAACGACGGATTTAACGATACGATACAATATAATTTAAGTAACAATCAAAACAAACATTTTATTTAAAGTAACAATACGATACAATACATCAGGTATCATTTGACACTGTTTTGTAAAAATTCTCTTTATGTGTGCAAACAATGTATTTTTTTTAAAAATAATATGTATATATAGTAATTATATACAACAAGAAAATATGTCTTGAAAACAATACAAACTAAATATCAATTTATTGTTGATTGTTTTTAACATACAGAGGCCATCTCTTTGGATTGTATCTTCCCTGATTCCCATTGTTGGTGGAGTAGCATTAGCATCAATGACTGAAGCCTCTTTTAACTGGTATGCCTCTCCCTACTAATCAAATAATATGTATATTTTATCTTGAATTTACACATTGATTTTGAACTCTCTTTGAAACAGGATAGGCTTTGGCAGTGCAATGGCTTCCAATTTGACTAACCAATCACGTAATGTATTTAGCAAAAAGTTCATGGTTAAAGAAGAGGTAAAGACACTTGCATTCATGAGAAAAAATATTCAGAGTTTAGATTTAGAGACAATATCTTAAAAATTAAGATACGTATTCAGATTCAGACATCATTAACCTTTGTAAAAACAAAAAAAAAAGGACAGCCCGATGCACTAAGCTCCCACTATACAAGGGATCCGAGTAAGGGTCAGTCCATAAGTGTCTATTGTATACAGTCTTACCCTGAATTTCTGCAAGAGGTCGTTTTCACGACTTGAACCCAAGACCTCCTGGTCACATGGCATGAACTTTACCAGTCCGGGGAAGAACCAGACCATAAGTGTCTATTGTACGCAGCCTTACCCTGCATTTCTGCACGAGACTGTTTCCATGACTTGAAGCCGTAACCTCCTGGTCACATGGTATGAACTTTACTAGTCTGGAGAAGGGCCGGACCATAAGAATATATTCTACGCAGCCTTAACCTGTATTTTTGTATGAGGCTGTTTCCACGACTTGAACTCGTGACCTCCTAATTACATGGCATAACTTTACCATTACGCCAATGCTCCCTCTACCTTAGTAAAAACGAACAGAGTGCATTATTTTATCTTGTGAAATACATAACCAGTAAAGATTGTCAAACAGGAGGCGTTGGACAACATCAACTTGTTCTCTATCATTACAATCATTTCATTCATCCTTTTGGTTCCTGTTGCCATTTTGATGGAAGGGATCAAGTTTACTCCATCCTATCTACAATTTGCTGTAAGTAATATTCCATCTTTTAAGTGTTTTCTATTTTCTACTCTTTTTTTTTTTTTTTTTTTTTTTTTTTTGC